TTTGGCCTTGTATCTTGTTATAGCATATAGCATTCTTGTCAGGCCAATTAATTCTTAGCTATCCTACAGCTGGACTTTGAGCCTTATAGGGGTTACCGTGATGTTTCACAGTGATATGCTATAGGTAACCCCAACGTATATGATAGAATGAAGTGATTCTTACCTCAATTCAAATAAATCCTTTATCAAAAATTATTTTAAGGGGATATACGATTGGAGAACCTAAGGCTGTTGTAGGATCACCATCTCCTGATGCCATGTTTCTGATACCTAACATTCTACTGGAATAAGAGGTAGTAATTGAAAATTATCATATTATGAGAAGAGGACATAACAGTTCTCTCATAGCTAAGACTTTGTCTTACAAGTGCCTATCATGCATTTTGTTATTTCTGTTTTAAAATTTTATGATATTTTCTTCTGCTGCTCTTTGATGCTTAATTAAACTATGGCTTTTTCTCAAGGCATGTGTGGTGCAACCTAAAGCTGAGATGGACCTCCAGTTTGAGTCAACCAAACTAAGCACTCCTTGGGGGTATGTTAGTGCAGTAGCTTTATGTGTTTCAACCTTCGGGACGATAGCCTTGACGAGTGGTTTCTTCGTCAAGCCTGATGCCACAATTAATGACTACCTGAATGATGTTGCGCCTCTCTTTGGTGGCTTCTTGACCATTTTAGGAGTTTCTGAGGTATGTTGTGAATTTCTCCAGCTACTTGATTAGCCAACATAATGCATCCTGTGGTTAAAAAATGGTGTAAGATAAACTTTTTTAGGAGTTTTGTCATTTCATGAAAAAAGTTGTGTTCTTTTTTGGTAAATGGGATGATTGCAGATTTAGTATGTTTAATGTTATAAAAAAGAACAACATTTCTAGAGTGGTAATGTCTACTAAATGGATTCATCTGCATCATTTTTGTGAGTGGAAAAGACCATTCATTCATTGTACAATGTTGCAAATCTAAGGAAATTTTCTCAGATATTGAAGTATGGGAATGATCTAATCAATGATTTTGTTTTTTCACCATTAGAAATGATGGATAGCTGGCTGATCAAACTGCTTTTGGAAAATATAGGAGCTGAACAAGATTTGAACAAATATTTATTTCAAAAATAGGTTATAGTAAGGAGCTCTTTGGATTTGACAGAACCCATTAGGTAAAGGCTTTTTCGACAAAATTAAATGCCTCGCTTGTCGCTTCATTGTTGAAATACGTGTTTGGGAAAGCTTCAAATTTCATACCTTCAGATAGGAAAAACTTGAAATTTTCTCATTATAAGATTTTTGAAAAATTTTCAGGACTATCTCCATTTTCTGAACTTACTATTTTCTGTTAAATTTCAAAAAATTCCTGTCTTAATGTCTTGCAGATAACCACGAGGGTAACAGCAGCCCGTTATGGTGTTAAACTTAGTCCATCTTTTCTAGTCCCTTCCAACTGGACTGGATGCCTTGGGGTTATGAATAATTATGAGTCTCTTTTACCAAATAAGAAGGCTTTGTTTGATATTCCAGTAGCACGAACGGCAAGTGCGTATCTGACATCATTGGTTCTTGCGATTGCTGCGTTTATATCTGATGGCAGTTTTAATGGCGGTGACAATGCATTGTAAGTTACCCTCATCTATTCATCCAATTAAATAGCATGCACTTAGATTATCATCTTTCTCTGTGCTACCTAGTGACCTAGCGTGTCTTTTTCAATTAGAAAAACTACTTAGTGTACCTTTCTGTGCAGGTACATAAGACCCCAGTTCTTTTACAATAATCCGCTTCTTTCCTTCATCCAATACGTTGTCGGGCCATATACTGATGATCTTGGGAACGTGCTACCTTATGCAGTTGAAGGTGTGGGAGTTCCTGTTGATCCCCTTGCATTTGCAGGGCTTTTAGGTGAGTTTCTTAGCCAATGTCGTATATTTTGTCTTCTTGTTTCATAACTGGGAAGAATGCTTGACTGTGTTAATTGCATCCACCGCTGGCTGAATTTAAAATCGTGCATTTCGAAGACTTAACCAGATAATCTTGATTCAATTAAAGATTTGGCTCTGATTGACATGTCCAATTAATCAAATATCCCATCTCTAGCCTCGAGTATCTGCTTTCATCTTGTTGTGAAGAGTTCAAAATGCACTTTTCTGTTTTCTTGACGTGCGCCATAACACGGATATGTACAGGACTGTTGCCTACTGGGGGACAGTGGATGGACCATGGACCTCATCTTTCTCCTTATTTGTTTAGATATGCTATCTTAATTTTTGGATTATGATCCTGGAACCTAATTATAATGTGGACTTATCTCATCAATCGACCTAGTTACATACTCTATATAAAGGAGTAAGAGGGGGCTTTCTTTTTCTGTAAGATAAGACAGAGGTGTGTCTCTGTGAGCAAAAATCCTTGTAATTTCTTTGTAGTGAAAAATTTACAGTGGCAAATAGTCGT